AAAATGGCTGGGGCCAAACTTTGATCTGAAAATATCATTGAGCACCCCTGGTTGTGGTTCTCGTGCAGTGGCTCATAGGCATCGTTTTTCTAATATATATCAATCTCAATTTTACAACAATCATGTCTGACGAAATAGAAACAAAACTAAATGAACTCGAAATAAATTCTATGTATGTCGGTGCTTTATCAAATATATCGATGGAAGCTCTTCTTCAATTTAATATACCAGGTGACCGTTATGCTATATCATCAATTCGATTATTTCTTGGTAAATATCATGCACTTCCATGCCTTTTGACTTGTATGAGTGGTACTGACAGAAAATTATTACATGTAACAACAATATTAGAGTATCTTTGTGATGAATTCAAACATGATTTAAATACTGATTTGATAACTGGAAATTATAATGCTCAAACAAATCAAATGGATATTAGTGCACGTTTTTGTGATTTAAAAAATGGTATTATGCTTGAATTTCAAGACATTTATTTGAATCCTGGAGTATTAAATCCAAATCAATTGAAAGCTGATAAATCTGATGATGGTTTTTCAATTGCACAAACAATTACTATTTATTATCTTCCACATCAGATGCCATCCGTGTCCGAGTTATGCAAATCTTTTTATAAAATGACAGTTTTATCACCAGAACCATCTATAACATTTACTTTACACATGGTTTGTCGAAATCAAGGTGGATATTATCTCAGTTGTATTACTATTAAAAAACCACTTATTACCGATCTTGCACTTTATTATGGGAATGATTTTGTTTCAGTTCATGAAAAAATTATTAAAAGTTTGAATACATTAGAAAATAAAGGAATCGTTCTTTTACATGGTATCCCAGGTTCAGGTACGTTGAAAAGGAAATGATTAGCGAAATTTCTGAGAGTTTTCGAATGTGAAATAAAATTTACTTTGTTTTCAATAGGAAAAACTCATTATATTCGATATTTAATTCATGAAATTCAAGGTAAAACATTGATCTATGTTCCACCAGATATGGCAAAAGAGATTTCTTCACCAGATTTTCTTCCATTTCTTATGCAGTATCCTGATTCAATTCTAATTATTGAAGATGCAGAAAATATTATTAAAGATCGAAATGAATCTTCTTTTCCATCACAAGCTGTTGCAAATCTTTTGAATTTGTAAATGAATTTTTTACAATTGATAAATTTATAAAGTAATAATTATTTCTCCATTTAGATCTGATGGTTTATTAGGTGATGCAATGCATCAACAAATTGTTGCTACATTTAATTGTGATTTAACAACAATTGATCCGGCTTTACTACGCAAAGGACGTTTAATTGCCAATTATGAATTTAATAAATTAGATTTAGAAAATTCAAAAATTCTCTCAGAGAAATTAGGATTTGGAACTAAGAACATCACCGAACCGATGACATTGGCAGAAATTTATAATCAAAATGATTAAGTACTTCGAAATAGATTTTAATGAACTTCTAGTAGAATATTATTTTGAGTCTTGTTTCAACGAGAAATATTCATTTAATACATATTTGCTTTCTATTTAAACTTTAATAAAAACCATCTTGAAGGTGTGGTTGAGAGGACGAGAATATCACCCACGCTTACTAATGCCGTCCTCCAATATATGTACGACACATTTTTCATCAAAGAAGTACAGAAAGAGGAATACAATTCTCCCAGTGATTCATTTCTTCTCTTATATTCTGTGTTAGGCATCATATTAATGTTTGACGAATATATAAAATGTATTGTGAAATTTTGTACATTGAGCATGCTTTAAACATTATGTCAAAAATAAATCGTAGACCCAGTCTTGATGAAACTAAGAACATTGTTGTTTCCCCTTGGAAACAGCAAATTGTTTCGTACAAAATTTTTTAAGAGTTTTATTTAAAATATAATAAATTTTCTAGCTAAGCTTTTTCGGATTTGAGTTTCATAATCTGAGCATAGAAAACTATTGTTGCACAAAAAAGAAATTATTTTGTATTCATCAAGATGAAACCTGAGTGTGGGTGTGGGTGTATGAATATGCTGTTTCGTGCACACTGATCTCGTACCCACTTAGCCCACCCACACCCTATACTAAAATAGTTTAATCTACATCATTCCACATTATCAATAGTTCATGAAGATCAGAAACGCAAACTTTGAAAGTAATAATCATTTTAGAATATCAAGTATTTCTAGATTAAAAATTTATTATTTTCTTATTAAAAGGTTGATAGTGCTTCAAGATATAAGTCATATTAATTATTGTCTTATTATTTGGTTTCTCTGCGAAAACGCTTCTTTGATTAGATACGCCCATTAGCAGCACACGACGACGATAAATTACAAATACCAGTTGAATGAGTAGCTAATTCGGAGCTTTGATACACATTAATTACGAATCGACCAACATTAAATCCAATCTAGTTTTACAAAAGATTAGAATACAAACAGATTAGATTTACTTTTTATCATATCTATAGAATCAAACTATAGTTTGGACAAAATTGACATTATGAATAAAGGATGCTAATACAATATTTTATTTGTGTAATGGAGTGTTACGAATTAGATACTTTTTAGAACTCTACTATATTTATATGAGCTTATTTAGTGACTCAAAATTTTCGATTACTAAAAGATCAGGACCTGACACAGAAAAATTGCTAAAAAATAAGCGAGAATAAATAAATCGTAACCGTTCAAGAGATGTCCATTGCGATTGAAAACTAATCGCTATCACTCTATGACCATAAAAGAAAAAGACTAGCGTCTTGCGGTGATAAAAACAGTAAATCAATCTGAGCCTTGCTGCTCCGTCAATGGTTGTTAGAAAAATGATGTGAATTTTACGACTTGTGCGTGTTTAAGATTAGTATTACTGTTACCGATCCGTAAGATTCATTGAACATCGAACTTCTGTTCAAACCTATGCATTTTTATATTGCTCTTTAAAGACACATACCGTTACCATGAACATCTCTGAACTACTCTGACATAAGATTCGAAGGCAAATTCATAGAAATCTTTATTCAACTTACAAAATGCAGTTACTGGCAATGTTTAATACTATGAATGATAACTTGAGTCTTTCACTTCCGCTAACTTCGTTACCATGAGTAAATGAAGGCGAAAACAGTTGACAGCAACAAAATAACTGCTAAGCTATACTATTTCATGTCACGATAGAGTGAGATATGCTGTTCATTCAAATACTATATATTTCGTAATATAAACATACTTACATCATGCGTTACAATTGTTGTAAAATTTCCTTTGGCATAGTATACAGTCAATGTTTCATGTGTTGCTGTTGTTATCAAAGAAGGATTAATGTCTATACAAATATTCGACTTCTTTATGAAATAGTTTGTTAATTATACTTACCATTCTCTTCACAATCCATCCAACCAAAATCTTGACCAACAGCTGAAACAGTACAAATTGCTTTCGTGGATAATTCATCGAACAAGATGAGTGTTAACTGAAGTAGAATATATATTTATTAAATAATCTGATTTATAACTGACAACGTACTTCATCAATGCTAGAACCAGTTGTACGAAGTGTATATCGAACAAACTTATTTTTGACTATTTCAAAGTTTCCTGAAGAACCAGCACAGTTTTTAATAGGTGGTGAAGCTTCATTTGTATGATGCCATGTTTGAATATACATATTTTCATAAATAGCACACTTGAAAGAAGCAACAGAAGTAGCCGTTGTTGTTTGTGCTACAAATATAGAATAGTGTCAATTCAATGTAAATAAAATGCTTTAATGATAAGAACTAATTTAAGTTTTATTCAATTTAAAAGTTTATAATAGAGGGTATCGGGTGGTGCAACTTGAGAATGAATTAAGGGGATCCACTCTTTCCACCTAAATGATTGAAATAATTGGAAGGAACTACGGAACGGATGGTTTCTACAGTCCGAAAAGCATCGTTTCCCTATATTTGACGCCTTCCCAAACATATTCCTAACCACATGTCAGAGCTCTTATTATCTGACATGGTAAGCCGTTTTCTGCGTTGTGCGATATCTTTTTTACTTTCATCTTCTTCTACAGGTTTTATGTGTCATTCTAATGAGTCGATTCGTTATTAAGCAGTTGTTCTGACACGATCATTGTGGTCGAAAAATTTTACAAAGTACATACATAACAAAAGGTATGATCTAATTTCTTTATATAAATGTAACAAACAATTATGATATTAAAATAACTGTATTACACTAACCATTGGTAGTTGTTGTTGATGTCGTAACTGTAGTGGTACTTGTTGTTGTTGATGTTGTAACTGTAGTGGTACTTGTTGTCGTTGTTGTTGTTTTCGTAGTGGTACTTATTATTTCTGTTGGTCGACAGTCTGGATCAGACTGCCTACATATACCTATTGAATTAGCAACCAAAGAACTTGACAGCCACACGTAGATATTGAAGTGTGACGCATATGGTTGTGACGTACTCTGAAAAAAATTTATTTGGATAATCATCATAAAAATAGAATACTATCGAAAGAAATCAATAAAATTTGAGAGTGTACGTAGATGAGAGGTGTGAAGTATGGATGTGGTTGGAATAAAATACCTACACCTTAGTCATAACAACCTATACTTCATCTATAAATATGATCTGCTTTCATATTTGTATTGTTTTCTTTTTTGTTGTCTTTTATAGTTTTTTCTATAATTATGCGATGTGCCCAATTTTTACTTATGTGAATGAGCGTAGGTGGGCGATTAATATATTATTTGCATCTTCACTCTGGGAAATACCATAAAATCAACAAGTTATTTTCAAAAAACAGATATATTACTCGTGATCAAGAGTTTCTGAATCTTATACATTAGATACATACAAAAAAATGCTGTATTTCATGCTAAAAATACTGGACTTACATTAAACTGTATGGTTGTCAAAAAATTTATCTTTGGATAACCAATTGCCATTGTATAATGAGTGCCAACCGTTGTAGAATTCCATGTTATACCTATAAACAGGCATAGAGCAGAGCTAACTCATTTATTCACTCACCATGTTCTCGACATTTACCACCATCTAATGGTGCCATTATGAAATTGTCAGAGTAAATCAAACAAGCTCGGTCTTTTGTTTCAACATCATACAACCATATTTCTGCCTGAAAAATATATTCTGAAATGTTCATACAATATTCATCAAAAACACTTACTTCAACCATCCATTTATTACTAACTTTAAATCTGTAATAAACATACTCGTTTCTTACTAATGTAACAAATGACGGCATATAACAATCTTGATATGGGTTCGGTCCCAAGCCGCTACCTTTTAATCGCCAAGTAGAAACCTGAGCACCTGTACCAACACTACATTCAGATATCGGTGCCTGTCCCTGAACTAAAAAATAGAAAAAGTATTATCAGAATGAGTCGATTATAATGAACAAACCATAGCTTTTAGTATCGAAATAATTGATGATGAAAAACAAGAATAAATATCCGAAAAACATCTTTTCAAGTTCAGGTATAGTGAATAGCTTGTGATCTCTCCTTTAAATATTTTAAATATACGAAGCACCTGAAGATAAGTTTGCCCCTGCAGTAAATATTTTATATAACTCGGAACAAGATAAGGAAGAAAGAGACTTTATCCTATTCTATTATTTTTGGCGACAAAATTACCAACTTCATTCTGAAGTTTTATTGTTTTATGATGGCAGTTTCTTCCCGAATACTGGAGTAAGTGATACAATAAAGTGAGTTGATAGATGAATGGGGTGAGAGTTTGGGTGTGGATTTTATTATAAGCGCAATCCTCACCCACGCCTACCACACCCACACCTACCCACACCCACACCCACACCCACACCCACACCCACACCCACACCCACCCATATTTAAACAAAGAAACAGGTAAGAGCCACGTTCAACAATCTCATTTTATTTTAAAACGTTTTTTACATAGAAAAAACGTCTCAAATTGTAATATGACGAGATAGGAAATATAAAAAATCTCGAGGGTGTGAGTGTGGTCCTTATCTAATCCTCAGACCCACACCCTTTTAGCAACACTTAATCTAGACTAGTCCGAATCACATAATGATATATAGCAATAAATGATATTACCGTTACAGACTCGATCATGCCAATGAATTCGAAGCTCAATTCATTGTCTTGAAAGGACATGGCCGCGCTCGTGAAGGTAATATAATTTATTGCTATATATTATTCTATCGTACAGATAAGCCTAGATCAAACGTCAAAACACTATAACTGTAAAAAGTTCTGTAAGATTCTTTAGATAACTCGCTCATCCCTGTATCTATTCAACTATCCAACTGTTCGAGTACTTTTTCCGTCTCTCGCTGAAACACACCATCTTGTACTGGCAATTTGTATCTCAACACAAGAAAATAAACAAGATATTCATGAATCACTGAGAAAACGAAAACAATTTTTATTACGAAACTAACTCGCTCCTACTTCACACATGTGAAGTGATATAATCAAATATAAAACTTTATTATTTAATAATTCAATTGTTTAATTTTTATACGTGAGGGAAGTTATCAGCGGATACGAATAATCCTTACTAATAGTCGCCCTGAGATTTATGTAATGTTTCTAGTAGGTTGTTTAAGATGCAGAATTAGATTCTTTATCGAATGAAGTAATATCCAAGAAGGATCATCGATCATAGTGAGCGTGGGTACGGATGTGGACGTCGAGTGAATCAATACTCATACCCACACCCTTCGACTAAAAGAAGAAAAGTCAATGAAGATGCTATGATTCATCTTTTTCAACGACACTTATTTCTAATTCAATGTTATTGTATATCAAATTGTTATCTTTATGACTAAGATCTTATGTCTACCAAAAAAATGTTTCGTCATTATTTGTTTTCAACATCTCTTTATTGACTTTGACTCATTTTATTTTATTAAAGTGTATACGAGTACGAGAAGAGAACAATTATTCATTTCTTTTATAAACTCTTCAACAAATGGCAACAGCAAAAAGCAGAACACAATGTTCTATTTGTAATAAACAAAAAAACACATACAACTGTTACGGATGTTCAAAAGATTTTTGTTCTCAACATTTAACAGAACATCGACAACTTCTTGCCGAACAATTAGATGAAATTATCGATGATCATGATCAATTTCAACAAACAATTATTCAACAGAAACAAAATCCAATAGATTCTTCTCTAATCGAACAAATTAATGAATGGGAAAAAAATTCAATTACGAAAGTTCAACAGATAGCGCAAGAATGTCGAAACACACTGATGAAATGGACACAAAAGTCAATCAATGATGTTGAAGAAAAGTTTATTAATTTATCTGAAAAATTAAAAGAAATTCGTAAAGAAAATGAATTTAATGAAATTGATTTAAAACATTTTCAATTAAAACTAACACAAATTACACAAGAACTTTTTCAACCAGTGAATATTTCTATTCATCATGATCCACAAGAAATCATCAAGAAAATTTCAATTATTTCATTATCTAGTATGTTTTTTCAGTTATTTCATATTGAAAAAAGAAAAGTTACGTATAGGTGTGAATGTGAGTGTTTATATTGTCAGATACTTACACTCGCACCCACCCTACACCCTGATTTATTCGTTTTTCTCTTTACATTCTTAGAACGAGACAGATTCAAACTCAACAAATGGAACCAACGCGGAATCGTCATTGCGGGAAGTAATCAACAAGGAGATCAATTAAATCAACTCTCTGCTCCGGAAGGAATCTTTATTGATAATCACAACAATATTTGTATTGCTGATTGTGATAATCATCGTATTGTTGAATGGAAATATCATTCGAACAAAGGACAAATCATTGCTGGCAACAATGGAAGAGGCAACAGAAATGATCAATTATCTTATCCAATAAATGTAATTGTTGATAAAGAAAATAATTCGCTGATTATTTCTGATTATGAAAACAAACGAGTAATACGATTGTTTCGTCGAAATCCAACAAAACAACAAATTCTCATTTCTCACATTTATTGTTGGGGTTTGGCAATAGATAAACATGGATTTATTTATGTTTCTGATTGGAAGAAGAACGAAGTGAGAAGATGGAAAGAAGGAGACGAACGGGGAACAATTGTGGCAGGTGGAAATGGAAGAGGAAATGATGTCAATCAACTCAATCGTCCTACTTATATCTTTGTCGATAAACACGATTCTCTTTATATATCAGATTCTTTGAATAATCGTGTAATGAAATGGAAAAAAAATGCAAAAGAAGGAACTGTTGTTGCTGGCGGAAATGGAAAAGGGGATAGTCTGAAACAATTATCTTATCCTTGCGGAGTAACTGTTGATCATCTAGGTCGAATCTATGTAGTAGATAATGAAAATCACCGAGTGATGTGCTGGTGTAAAGGAGACGCAGAAGGTAAAATTATCGTTGGTGGAAATGGTGAAGGCAAAAAATCAAACCAATTATCTTATCCCACTGGTTTGTCATTTGATGAAGAAGAGAATCTTTATGTTGTTGATTGGGGAAACAATCGAGTTTTAAAGCATGAGAAAATCTGTTGATTAAAATGTTTTTCTTAATAAAATCAAAGGTAAAATGCTGATACATGAATTTTCAATAAATCATTGATCTACTAATTTTCGACTAAAAATCAACAAAAGATACGACAAATCTTCGCTAATTCGATGAAACAGAAATGATCGAAACAGAATTGATCAATCTGAGAAACTATCAAGTAAATACATTATGATGTTGTTTGAAAATTAGAAGAGAAAATCCACATTAATCAGCAACTTTTTTCCCTGTGTCACAGTGATATGAAAAATATTTGTTAATTGTATTCACGTAAGCAAAAGACGGGTTATATGACTGGTCTTTTGTCTAAAATTCGACTACCACATGACTAGCCCGGGATTTTTGGCCGTCACGTATACCAGTGTAAGTACGGGTGTAGTATGATATAATATCCACACCCACACCCTCAAGATGCGAACAGGAAAAATTTGTCTTAAAATCCACACGCTCTATTTTGCTGAATAAAATAAAATATATGAGTTTCACAAAAAGCAAAGTATAAATGAGTTCAAAACACATGAAAATTAAATAAGTTTTTTGTTGTTGTTGTAAGGAATGTGTTTAGTTTGTTGTGCAATATCTGTAAGATGTACTACTTGTAGGTATCAAATAAAATACATAATAACCATTACAGTTGATAACACTAATTGGTGATAGTGAATAGCCGCATGAAACACCTGTATAAAAACAAACATTTCCTGTTGTCATTGAACCAGCTGTGGTTGGTAATGTACCATTAAAATAGCCAGGATAACTTGAACCACATGCACCTATAGTAGAAATAGCGGTTGTGACGAGCTGTGTACCAGCTGATGATGTAATTCGAAACCAACCAGCCGACATGTATGATATAATATCATAAGGTGTATAACAACAACTATAACCATTTTGATAATTTCGACTGTAATCACTCAGAGTTGAATAAGCGTAACATTGTATCGGTAAACTAACCGATGTATTTGAAACTAAAAAGATGTAAAATAAACTTCGTAGAAGATTTAAAGAAATTGTTAGATCAGTTATTTTATCATGTACACTAACATATTAATTCGAGAACAATCTCGAATTATGTTTGTAATTCAATCAAAGAAAACAAATTTACGAAGCAAGAATGATACTATTACCTGTAACACTTGCTACAGTTGTTGTAGCTGTCGATGATGAACGTGCATTCAACCTATGAAACAAAGACAAATGAAAATGGATCTAAGAAACATGTTATTATCTATCTTACCATAGCGTTGTCATAACCGCTAATGGAACAGCACATAAAATGAATCCCACCATAAAGAACAACATTTTTGTGGATGTTAATTTTGCACATAACTTGGAAAAACTAAAAAAAATAGATGGAAACTATAGAAGATAATATGTGCATGTTATTTCTAGGAATGTAGATGAAACTAAGATGCAATTATTTTATAGGTTTCTTTTTTTATCTTGGGATTCTCGACGAAAATATTTATTAATTAAAACTTTAAGGTATTCAGTTAGTGAATACTACAAACTGCTTTAGAAATTCATTTCACGTTTTAAACAATTTCTATATGCCGATCTTGACACAATATATTCTAAAAATAATCAGATTTCACAAGAACATGTATAGAAACGAGTTGTTTAAACAAAGAATATCCTATCTAATCAGAATTTGTCGAAAATATGGGACGCTACAATTATAAGTGAAAAATTTGTAAAAATAGATCTAGATCTTAAAGATGGTTTATAAGTTACATTTGATGAACACATAAAGGTAAAATGTTTACCTGAATCGTGAATTTGAATCAGGTGACGGATTGGTTTTGTTGTTGTTGTTGGAGGTAAGTGTCGGTTCCCAGCCGTTTGATCGAACCATTTGAGGCTTGGGTGCTGGATAAAGTTGTTGTGGGTCAATTTGAGAAATACTTAGCTGCGGATTTTGATTAAGAAATGTACCTGTATTCCAATTACTTGATCGTTGACTCATCGTTTGACTAATCCTCGGATCAGTCAAGTTTTGAGAAAGTAAAGGATAATCAGATCTTCGAGGCTCTAT